GGAGCGCAGGAGGGTCACACCACTCATGCTTGTAACTGTCAATCTTGCAATGCCTCATGGGACTTGTAGTTTGGCTACAGCTGGAGGGTTGCCAGTTGGACACCTGTGGTTTAGGTGATGAGAATAGTGAGGACCTCTGTGACCAAGCCCTGGTGGGCACAGGCAAAATGCATCGGCAGGCGTGGCCAGAATGGTGGCTGAGGCTATTCCTCAACATTGGACTCCTGGGGTAGGTTGAGCAGCATCCATCCCTTCACTTAGGTGATGAGAAGCCGTTGACTGTAGGAGATGGCTTTGATGTTCACAAGACCAAGTCAATGCACGTAGCTCTCCAGCAAACCCTACTGACGCATTTCACCCCTACATGAGCTGAGTCACCAAGGGTTTGGTGACTGACTGTGAGTGCCTTTTTCCCGGCGTCCTAAATTCAAACATCTGTTGTATCTTTTTTTTTTTTTGGAAGAACTTTATTGAAACTTCTACATTCACAAGACCAAGTCAAAGCACATAGCTCTCCAGCAAACCTTACTGACGCATTTCACCCCTACATGAGCTGAGTCAGCAAGGGTTTGATGACTGTCTGTGGGTGTTGGCTTTGATGTGATTGCGCTTTTCCTGGCGTCCTAAATTCAAACATCCGTTGTATCTTTTTTTCATTTCTTTAAAAAACTTTATTGAATCCTGTACGTTCACAAGACCAAGTCAAAGCACATAGCTCTCTGGCAAACCTTACTGACGCATTTCACCCCTACATGAGCTGAGTCACCAAGGGTTTGATGACTGACTGTGGGTGATGGCTTTGATGTGAGTGCATTTTTCCCGGCGTCCTAAATTCAAACATCCGTTGTATCTTTTTTTTTATTTTTTTGAAGAACTTTATTGAAACTTCTACATTCACAAGACCAAGTCAAAGCACATAGCTCTCCAGCAAACCTTACTGACGCATTTCACCCCTACATGAGCTGAGTCAGCAAGGGTTTGATGACTGACTGTGGGTGATGGCTTTGATGTGATTGCGCTTTTCCCGGCGTCCTAAATTCAAACATCCGTTGTATCTTTTTTTCATTTCTTTAAAAAACTTTATTGAATCCTGTACGTTCACAAGACCAAGTCAAAGCACATACAGTTGTGGCCAAAATTATTCAACCCCCACTGAAATTGAGTGTTTTGGCCAGTTTGACATTGCTTTTGATCATTCAGTCATCTTGCTTACATTTACATTAAAGAGGCACTTGTAGGTCAGACAAATATAACATAACAGTTATAATGAAATAACCACAAATGTCTTTTCTGTGCTCACAGCATTATCAGTTTTATTCAACCCCCAAGTGACATTCAATCTTAGTACTTAGTACAGCATCCTTTTACAGTTATAACAGCTTTTAAACGTGAAGCATAGCTTGACACAAGTGTCTTGCAGCGATCTACGGGTATCTTCGCCCATTCTTCATGGGCAAAGGCCTCCAGTTCAGTCACATTCTTAGGCTTGCGCACTGCAACTGCTTTCTTTAAGTCCCACCAGAGGTTCTCAATCGGATTTAAGTCTGGTGACTGCGATGGCCACTCCAAAATGTTCCAGCCTTTCCTCTGCAACCATGCTCTAGTGGACTTGGAGGTATGCTTGGGATCATTGTCCTGTTGAAAGGTCCAACGTCTCCCAAGCCTCAGGTGTGTGACGGACTGCATCACGTTTCCATCCAATATCTCTCTGGTACTGAAGAGAATTCATGGTACCTTGCACACGCTGAAGCTTCCCTGTACCTGCAGAAGCAAAACAGCCCCAAAGCATGATTGACCCTCCACCATGCTTCACAGTAGGCAAGGTGTTCTTTTCATCATAGGCCTTGTTCTTCCTCCTCCAAACATAGCGTTGATCCATGGGCCCAAACAGTTCTAATTTTGTTTCATCAGTCCACAGAACACTATCCCACAACTTTTGTGGTTTGTCCACATGGCTTTTGGCATACTGCAGTCGACTCTTCTTATTCTTTGGAGACAGCAAGGGGGTACGCCTGGGAGTTCTGGCACGGAGGCCTTCATTACGCAGTGTGCGTCTTATTGTCTGGGCTGAAACTTCTGTACCCACATCCACATCTGACAAATCTTTTCTCAGTTCCTCAGCAGTCACACGGGGACTTCTCTCCACTCTACGCTTCAGGTAGCGCACAGCAGTCGAAGTCAGCATCTTCTTTCTGCCACGACCAGGTAGCGTTTCAACAGTGCCCTTTGCCTTGAATTTGCGAATGATGCTTCCTAAGGTGTCTCTTGGTATGTTTAACATCTTTGCAATCTTCTTATAGCCATTGCCCTTCCTGTGAAGAGAAATCACCTCTTCTCTTGTCTTCCTGGACCATTCTCTTGCCTTCACCATGTTTGTAACCACACCAGTAAATGTCTAGAAGGAGCTGAGTATCACAGTCATTTTAAAGCTGCCTAATTGGTGCTTATTATGCTTGATTGCTGCTCGGTGACATCCACAGGTGTTTTCAATACCTGATGGAAAGCACCTGTATGAACCTCTGTTCTTCAGAGTGGTAGTCTTTAAGGGGTTGAATAATTGTGGCAATGAAGAAACCACATAAGAACCATTTACTACTGTATTACATAAACAATTGATGTCATTTTAGTTGCATTTGGGTAGTTACAACGTCCTTGTAGGATTTGATTCTGAATACAATTCCAAATGTACACTATAGTCCCTAAACCCCTTTACAGCATTGGGGTTGAATAATTTTGGCCACAACTGTAGCTCTCTGGCAAACCTTACTGACGCATTTCACCCCTACATGAGCTGAGTCACCAAGGGTTTGGCGACTGACTGTGGGTGATGGCTTTGATGTGAGTGCATTTTTCCCGGCGTCCTAAATTCAAACATCCGTTGTATCTTTTTTCATTTCTTTAAAGAACTTTATTGAATCCTGTACGTTCACAAGACCAAGTCAAAGCACATAGCTCTCCAGCAAACCCAACTGACGCATTTCACCCCTACATGAGCTGAGTCACCAAGGGTTTGATGACTGACTGTGGGTGATGGCTTTGATGTGAGTGCATTTTTCCCAGCATCCTAAATTCAAACATCCGTTGTATCTTTTTTTTTTTTTTTTTTTTTTAAAGAACTTTATTGAAACTTCTACATTCACAGGACCAAGTCAAAGCACATAGCTATCCGGCAAACCCTACTGACGCATTTCACCCCTACATGAGCTGAGTCAGCAAGGGTTTGGCGACTGAATGTGGGTGTTGGCTTTGATGTGAGTGCGTTTTTCCCGGTGTCCTAAATTCAAACATCCGTTGTATCTTTTTTTTTTTTTTTTTTTTTTAAAGAACTTTATTGAAACTTGTACATTCACAAGACCAAGTCAAAGCACATAGCTAACCCTACTGACGCATTTCACCCCTACATGAGCTGAGTCACCAAGGGTTTGACTGAAGCAGGCCATAGCTTATGCAATGTTCTTTCCTTCCATCTGTGCTCGATCCCCCCCCCCATTGACACACTCAGTGTTGATGGGGGAATCATTCCCACATCGTGGCGGGGATTGCAGGGAGCCTTCCCTGCCTGCAGAACACAATGATTAGGGTTGCCAGCTTATAGCCAGTGGCACTAATCGTTCTGGAAAAACCCGACAGGCTGGTTGTACACAGTTGTTGATCAGTGGATTGACTTGTGTACAACCAGGGTGCCAATACATGGATCAAAATTTAGCCGGTCTCTGCTGAACCAGTCACCTTTTGATCCATGTATGGCCAGCTTAAGCCTCTGTTGGGGCGAAACGCGTCAGTAAGGAATGAGCTGGGTCTAGCAGAAAGCTATGGTGATGTGACTTGGTCTTCGGAATGTATTCATGTAGAAATAAAGCTTTTTGAAGCAATGGAAATAAAGATGTGATGGATGTGACACTTTTCCAATCCAAGTTCACTACCCCGGGGTAAAACGCGCCCCCATTAGTTCAGCACCCACAGCCAGTGAAGGTGAGCCAGAAGACCGCCCGCAGCTACAACATTGTGTGGGGATTCTAGCTCTCCTTGCAGTGGAGACCTCACTCCCTCTGCTGGGGGGGAGGTCTGGGAGCAGCTCTACCACCATCACTGTGGTACAGGGCCACTGAGACGGCCAGCATTGATGTGGAGAGCTGTGTATGTATAATTCACCCCAGTGAGCCAGCTGTCCTCCTCGCCCATCTTCAGGTATCAGGCTCCGCTCACACCAATGCGTTTTTTATTGCTTTCTGCAGAAACGCACTACAGTCCATTTAACATGGTTTCCTATGGAACATGTTCACATCGATGCTTTTTTGAGCTGCTGCGTTTTTTTTTTAAAGCAAGAAGCAGCGTTTTTGCTACACTAGAGTTCAATGGAGAAGCTGCTGAAACGCATGGTAATGCGTTTTTGCCGCATTTTGTTTTTAATTTTTATTTTGTCCAGTAACTAGAAAAAAATATTCCACTTTAACAAAAAAAAAAAAGAGCTGAACAAAATTCAAAACGCTGTAAAAACATGTAAAATATGTGTGTAGAAATACGTAAAACAAACTGAAAAATGCACTGGAGAAAGCAAAATGCATATATGTGAACCAAGCCTAAAGGTGACTGCTGAAAATGTACAACAGATTTTTTTTTTTTCCCCAGCAGCAGCTTTCCTAAAGGTGAACTCCAGCCAAAACGTTTTCATTTTTGACAGAGCAAGGGAAGTGCTTTCTATGTCACCAGCCCAGCTGGAGGCGCTGCTTCTGCGCAACTTGCTAGTTCCATGGCGGCAGGCATATCACTAGGTGAGCAAAACATGACAGGTGCTCTTTAAGGCTCCATTGACACTTATGCGACTTGTCATGCAACTTTGGGGTCCAAAGTCGCATGACTAGTCACCCCCCATGTTTCCCAATGGGTACCATGCATATTATTATTATTATTATACAGGATTTATATAGCGCCAACAGTTTGCTCAGCACTTTACAATATAATGGGAGACAATACAGCAACAATACAGTTCAATACAAGGGGGACAGGAGGGCCCTGATCCTGGGAACTTACAATCTAAGAGGGAGGGGCTAGTGGTACATCTGTGGTATATCTGTGCAACTTCAAAGTAGTTCCTGCACTACTTTGGTCCGACTTTCATGAGACTTGAGGGCAGGGGCGGGCTGACCATTTGGAAACTCACTGCCCGGGGTCAGTAGGGGGCCCCAAGAGATGCCCCTGGTTCCTTTTTCATAGGCTTTTTTGAGTTTGGGCAAGGACACAGGGGCCCCATGATTTCCTATTGCCCGGGGGCCTCATGATCCCCTATTGCTTGGGGGCCCCATGAGTTGTCAGTCCGCCCCTGCTTGAGGGCCATAGACTTCAATGTAAACCCTCCAAAGTTGCATGAATGTTGTACGTGCGACTTTGCACAGCAGAAACAATTATCCTTGGTCAAAGCCGCACTCATCTAAAGTCGCACCGTAAAGTCACATTGAAAATGTATTTATTTATTTCAGGTACTTATATAGCGCCTTCAATTTACGCAGCGCTTTATATATATATATTGTACATCACATCAGGGGCGGACTGACAACTCATGGGGCCCCCAGGCAATTTGAGATCATGGGGCCCCTGTGTCCTTGCCCACACTCAAAACACACCCAAAATAGCCTATAAAAGGCACCAGGGGCATTTTATGGGGCCCCCTACTGACCGCGGGCCCTCGGGCAGTGCCTGAGTGCTCGAATGGTCAGTCCGCCCCTGATTCACATCAGTCCCTAACCCTCAAGGGGCGTACAATCTAAGGTCCCTAACTCACATTCATACATACACATACTAGGGACAATTTAGACAGGAGCCAATTCACCTACCAGCATGTCTTTGGAGTGTGGGAGGAAACTGGAGTACCCCGAGGAAACCCACGCAGGCACAGGGAGAGAATGCAAACTCCAGGCAGGTGGTGCCGTGGTTGGGATTCGAACCAACGACCCTAGTACTGCCAGGCGGAAGTGCTAACTATTTAGCCACTGTGCTGCCCTCACATGATTTTGAAGTCGCACCAGTGTGAATGGAGCCTAAAAGGGCACAGTGCAGCCAATCGAATTTGTCTCATCATCTGATTTTTACATTTTTTTTTAAAAAAGAAACTGACCATGAGAGTGTCTGCCGAAAATGTTCCCTTCCTGGCTGCCATACTGACCTTCTTTTCTTTGAGTTTCTGGGGTGGATTTAGTAAAGGCAAATAGTCTGCGCAATCTGCAACGGCCAATTCACAGCAGTGCGTTGATCTGCGTTTTTAGCCCAGTTGTAAAACGCAGATCAATGGAAGGACATCTGAAAAACCATCATTTCCGATGTGTCCTGTTCACCCCATAATGCTGCGTTGACCTGCGTGACGTTAGAATGCAACATGTATGCATTTTAGTGCAACGCAATGGATGTAATCGAATGACAACGCAATGCACTGGATAACCTGCGAAAATGCGGTACGCTTTAACGCGCGCTGAAATGCATGCCAACGGATGTCAGAGCGTGACTAAAGAGGGTGGAAATGTACATCCATGTTCGTGCAAGTCAGTGTGAATTGGCCCCAAGGCTAGGGTCACACCTATGCAGTTTGCGTTTTGATGCGTTTCTGCAGTGTTTTTTGTGGTGTGTTTTTTCACATGTGTGTTTTTTTTCCAACCTGTTGCTGGGCAGATTAAAACTCAAAATGCATCAAAAACGCACTAGATGCATTTCTGCAGCATCTCCATTGAAGTCTATTTCACCAAAAACGCAAAGTTTTGTGTTTGAAAAAAGTCCCAACAAACGCGGAGATGTGATCGTGTCCCATAGGAAATCATGTTACATGGACTGCTGGGCGTTTCTGCAAAACACTTAGGTGTGAACCTGGACTAAGGGCAAGTTCACGCCATAGAAATGCAGTCCGGATACGTTTCTGTATGCACATTTTTGACACATTTATCATGCGTTCTGGTGCATTTTTAATGCATTCCGATTCATTTTTTCCCCTCTTTTTCTTCAACTTAAAGTGTTACTAAACCCAAAACAGTAAAATCAGTCTGTATATGCAGTAAACGTGCTTGTTATACTCACTGTGGAACCTAAGGGGTTAATACTCTGTTTTGTGTAAAAAGACTGTTTGATCCTGTCTTCTCTGATCCTCCCCTTCTTCCAGTGTACCCCTCTTATCTCCTGATAAGACATATCAGGTGGAGTCACTCGGCACATGCCCTGTTTGGTGTGTATTCCTAGAGAGGTTTTTCTTTTCCCCTTGGGAGAGTACATGTGAAAAGTACAGTCCCAATCAGCACTGTCCAGATAGAGGTCAGGGGTCCTGCATCCACCTAGAGCAACATGAAAACTCCTCCTACATGCTTTAATTGTGTAATTGCATTGTGTAAAAAGGCTGTTTGATCCTCTTCTTCTTATACTGTCTCCAATCCATCTGTTGATAGAACAGATCCTTGGGAACAAGCTGCACATGCTCAGTTTGGTGTGTATTGCCAAAGAGGTTTTTGTTTTTTTTTTTTCTTGGGAGAGTGCATGTGATCAGCACAGGGCCAATCAGCACTGTCTAGACAGAGGGTCAGGGGTCCTGCAGCCTCCTAGGACAGTCAGGAGAGAATGAAAACTCCTCCTACAAGCTTTATGCAGTGCTCTGCTGGACACTGATAGAAGTCACAAGACTGCTCTATCAGTTTATATTTACTAAAATAATTGCATTTCCATGTTCTGTGTACTGTGGGAGACCAGATATGTGTGAATGCAGGATCCTGGGAGATCAGATATAGTGAATGCGGGGTCCTGGGAGACCAGATATAGTGAATGCGGGGTCCTGGGAGACCAGATATAGTGAATGCGGTGTCCGGGGAGACCAGATATAGTGAATGCAGGGTCCAGGGAGACCAGATATAGTGAATGCGGGGTCCTGGGAGATCAGATATAGTGAATGCAGGCCTGGGAGACCAGATATAGTGAATGCGGGGGGAGACCAGATATAGTGAATGCAGGGTCCTGGGAGACCAGATATAGTGAATGCAGGGTCCAGGGAGACCAGATATAGTGAATGCGGGGTCCGGGGAGACCAGATATAGTGAATGCGGTGTCCGGGGAGACCAGATATAGTGAATGCGGGGTCCGGGGAGACCTGATATAGTGAATGCGGGGTCCTGGGAGACCAGATATAGTGAATGCAGGATCCTGGGAGATCAGATATAGTGAATGCAGGGTCCGGGGAGACCTGATATAGTGAATGCAGGGTCCGGGGGAGACCAGATATAGTGAATGCGGGGTCCGGGGAGACCTGATATAGTGAATGCGGGGTCCGGGGGACCAGATATAGTTGCAGGGTCCGGGGTTTAGGAACACTTTAATGCTGCTGACCTCCCTCAATCTATGAAGGTGGATTCTGGGACGTTTCTGTATTTTGTCTATGTGCCTATGAGAGTCTGAAGCCATATCCGTGATATCCATCACCTCTACCGGGTCCAAAATGCCAAATGTTTGTTTTTTTTCCTCTGTTTAACATTTCACGTCTTATGATTCATCTGTGAAAATGTCAATTTTGTAATTTTTTTAAAAAATCTGTAGGATTTCAATGTGCGTTTTGCTTTCGATTTGGGTCTGTGGTTTATTTTTTATATTTTTTGTTGACGATTAAACTTTTTCTATTGTATTCCATGTTTGATCATTATTCTACGTTTACAGATATGCACTTTATAATCACGATAACATGTGACAGAGATACCTTTCTATTAAACGTCTGTCTCCACAATCCTGTCTGGTTTCTAAGCTCAATCTTCATTTGAGTATATTGTGCCTTCCCTGGTTCCCGCCTTCCATGCTGACCAAATTAAAAAAGAAAAACTTTTTTTTTTGTTGGTTTTCATTACATACCTTATTTTTAGAAACGGTGATGTCATCACTGGTTCTCTGTGCTTTTCCATGCAATGCAGACAGATCATGGCTGGTGGGAGGGGCCAGCAGCGTGCTGTACATAGCTTCCTGAAAACCTCACCACACTCTGCCTCAGTCTTTTTCTCAGGAGTCCTCAGTCCTAAAGCAAGCAGTGGGCTGGATCTTGGGTGGAGCTATGCAAATAATCGAAATGCCTTGATCTAGTTGGATGTCGGCCAGGAGGAGTGGGCGTTCTACATGTGATGCAGAGCCTCCATGATTAAGAGCCCATTCACATTTGGAGTGGGGACTGGGGGTCCAAAGTCACATGAAAAGTCACACCCCATGCTTTCCAATGAGTACCATTCATATCCGTGCGACTTGACAGTAGTTCCTGCCCTACTTTGGTCTGACTTTCATGCAACTTGAGTGCCATAGATTTCAAGGTATACTCTCCAAAGTCACATAAAAGTCACACCTGAATGATATACATGTGACTTGAGGGCCATAGACTTCAAGGTATACTCTCCAAAGTCGCATGAAAGTCACACCTGAATGATATACATGTCACTTGATGGCCATAGACTTCAAGGTATACTCTCCAAAGTCGCACCTGAATGATATACATGTGACTTGACTTGAGGGCCATAGACTTCATAGACTTCAAGATATACTCTCCAAAGTCGCACCTGAATGATATACTCTCCAAACATGTGACATGTGACTTGAGGGCTATAGACTTCAAGATATACTATCCAAAGTCGCATGAAAGTCACACCTGAATGATATACATGTGACTTAAGGGCCATAGACTTCAAGATATACTCTCCAAAGTCGCACCTGAATGATATACATGTGACTTGTGTGCGACATTGTACAGCACAATCATCCTTGGTCAAAGCCAAAGTCGGATCAGGTCGCACTGTAAAGTTGCAATAAAAGTCTCACAAGTGTGAATGGAGCCCGATGTGTGACTTTAATTCCATGCGACTTTGCCTGGGTAATCTTCCTGTAATATTGGATCCAAATTACATCAAGTCGGATAGAAGTCGCCTTGAAGTACTTCAGGAACATTTTCTAAAGTCAGAGCGACTTCAGTAGTGCCAATTAAGACCAGGGCTTTTTTTTCTCAGAAAGTAGGCGCAGAACTCCTCCCCTTTTGAGTCACTCCTTGTCTCCGCCCCCTACCCAC